TATTCTTTATATTAAATATGAAGTGTTATTAATATTTACATTTTTCTGATGATATAAAAACATACATACTATTATATCACACTATAAGCTTCACCTTTATAAGACTCAAAAAGGCAACAGAGGTACTGGAGAGATGGTTCAGCAGTTAAGAGCACTGCCTGCTGTTGGAGAGGACCAGGGTTCAATTCCCAGCACCCAAATGGCAGCTAACAACAGTCATAACTGCAGTTCCAGGGGAATCCAATGCCCTCTTTTGACCTCCAAAGGCATTGCACAACACGGGTATACTTACATACATGCAGGCAATATGCTCATACACATAAAACAAATTTAAAAAAAAAAAAAAAAAAGCAACAAAGAGGGCTGGAGAGATGGCTCAGTGGTTAAGCGTACTGGCTGCTCTTGCAGAGGATCCAGGTTCAAATCCCAGCACCCAAATGGCAGTTAACAACCATCCATAACACCAGTTCCAGGGGATCCAATGTTCTTTTCTGACCTCCACTGGCATTGCACGACACAGGGGCACTTACATACATGCAGGCAATACACTCATACACATAAAATAAAAATAAATAAAATAACTAATTCCAAATCCAGCTTCTCAGAGCTTCCATTAACTACTGTAAAATGAAAATAATGGCACTTGTGATTTGGGCTTATTCTAAAGAATGAGTAAAATATACAGGGTCACAATGATAGCACTTGCCTATCAAGCACTACAAGGTTTTCCTGTAGCCTTTTCTGACCAAATGAAATCTACCCAATTAGCACCTAGCGGTGGTGAGGAGCACTGTGTTGCTGCTGACAACCAGAAAGATGAATATGGTTGGTTTTAAAATCTTTTTGCAAAATAAGTCCAGAATTAGCTTCTCTCCAACTTAACAAAGCTCCTACTCTCCTTACTTATTTACCAGCTTAACTCCCTGTCGGCATATTCATCAGGATCTGCCTTGCATACCCATTCATAGTCCAGACAAAGTACCTGCTAGAGGCAGAAAGAACGCCTTTGTGTTTCAAATCCAGAGATGGGTCCCTGAAATCAACCTCAAAGATTTCCAGTGTGGCATTTGTGCTAAAGGAGGCAACTAGCTGCTGAGCAGATGTTCCTAGTCACAAGAAAAGTAAAGAAAAGGCAGCTTATGAGCAACAATATTTGTATAGGTTTAATGTACAAATAGATTAGGGAGTAGAAAGGAAAAAGGACAGGAAAGCGTTAGGAGTATCCTTTCTGAAAGGGTAACCTCAAGGAAAGCACCCTAAACCACAGTCCAAGGCTGCTGCCAGACCCAAACCAACTATCCCCTTTCTATAATCCTGCAGTTTTCTCTCATGCCCATTAAAGAATTCTAGATACTAAATTTTCTTTTGACATATGACTTCCAGTGGCCCCTACTCTGTGGTGGTCTCCTACCTGTGGCCAGATACACAGGGTACTGATTGGCTGGGCTCCATGCTTGGACAGCTGGTCTCTCAAGTGCCTTCAACTTCATGGTCAGTTCCGTAGGTTGCAGAAAACTGATATGGATCTTAGCCCACTGAAAATAGAAACCAGCAAGATTAGCCAGGAAGTCTCTGTGGACACCAGATCTTGTTTCTCTCCTCCATGAGACGAAGCATTTAAGGACAATACAAGATGACAAAACAACATCATCTGCAAATGTAAGGACAGTTCATTTGCCCAGCTACTGAAATCTAAATCTCTAAACTCCTAAAGTATTTAATCATATTATTGCCATAGGCCCAATGATGATAATCATAAAACCAGATAATTTCTTAGTGACCTTGCCCCATTTCTGTGGCTAAAATTTGCTGATGATCAGCAAATTTATCACCAACACAAAGCTATCCTCTGAGCACCAATTCCTTTTTTATATAATGTATTTAATTTAAAAAAATTTATGTGTATATGTGTGTGTCTGTGTGTGTACACATGATTGCAGTTGTCCTTAGAAGCCAAAGGCATCAGATCCCCCAGGAGCTGGAGTTACAGATACTTGTAAACCACCTGATGTGGTTGTTGGGAATTGAACTTGGGTCTTACTTCTTATATGAAATTGCTAATTAGGGGGCTGGAGAGATGGCTCAGCAGTTAAGAGCACTGGTTGCTCATGCAAAGGACCTGGGTTTGGTTCCCAACACCCACATGGCAGTTAACAGGTGTCTATAACTCCAGTTCCAAGAGATCTGCTACCTTCTTCTGGTCTCCATGAGCACTGCATGCACAGGTGCACTTACATACATGCAGACAAAACACTCATACACCTAAAAATAAATAAAAATTTAAAAAAGAAAATGCTAATTAAATATTTCTACTTGTGCGCACTTATAATCCCAACACTCAAGAAGGTGAAGCAGTAGGATCATAGGTTCTGCTCAGCATAGACTTATAGTAAAACCTTACCTCAAAAAATAAAGAAAGAAACAGAGAGGGGTAGAGAGATCAAGTGAGCAAAGACATCTAAGGTAGTCTGTCTATAATGGAATTAATTCTCCACATCTCCTCAGCACGCTCTTCTGTTCTTCATTGTTTTCTTCATCTTGGCAAATGGTATTTCTAGCTACTCAATTATTCAGCCCAGAAACCTCGAAATCACCCTTGACCTCACCTTCTCTCTCTTTTCTAATTCATCATTTCATCTCTCTGATTTTAATCTACTTTTCCCTATCTCCACTGCCACCAGTCTATTTGAAGATACCATCATCTCTCATCTGAATTACAAGTCTCCAACTGAGCCTCCTCTCTACTCATGCCAACACCCAAGTCTTTTTCTACATCAAAGGAGCGCACTTTTAAAATTAAAAAAAAAAAATGGATGTTGGCATTCCAAGAGTAAAGCAGTGATCTATCATATGCAGAAGAAATCTGACGTTTCCACTTACCACTTCACCTCTTGCTAGTTTTCCTCCTAAGCATGGAACTCAGGGCACACTAGCCTTTTTTTCTTAACCTCATGACTTTTTCCTACACTAGAGCTTTGCAAATACTGTTTCCTATATCCTTTCAATGTATTTCCCTTCAGTCTCTGCACAACAGCTAGCTCTTTAGTACGTCTTCCTGAGTTGCGTATATCTCTTCAGAGGCCTAATCAAAAGCAGTCTCACTTCTTTCTAACACTTTATTTACACTCACATGGTCATTCTCTTCCACTAACATAAGCTCCATAAAAGCCAGCATCATGTCTCCCCATTGTTGTAAATACTGCCCCAGACCAATGACTAACACATTATAAGTGCTTATATTTGTTAAATGAATGAATGCAAACAGTCTTTTTACTTTTTTTTTTTTTTTTTTTTTTTGAGCTAAGGTCTCATGTAGCCCAGGCTGACCTCAAACTTGCTTTGTAAACTGAGGATGACCTGAGAATGATCCTTCTAGTTTCACTTTCGAAGCCCTAGGATTAGAGGTATGAACCACCACACCCAGCTAGGCTTTTTTTTTTTTTTTTTTTTGGCGTTTTTGAGATAGGGTCTCCCTGTAGTCCCAGCTGACCTGAACTCACTATGTAGACCAGGCTGGCCTTGAACTCACAGAGATCCGCCTGCCTCTGCCTCCCAAGTGCTGGAGCTGAAGGCGTGCATCACCACACCGGGCTTAAGACATACTTTTTAACTCTGAGAGTTCCCATTCCTATGGACTTTCAAGGTCGTGTTCTAACAGGCTAGCAAAGCTGCAGAAGGTTTTTGTTTTGTTGTTGGCTTTTTGTTTTCTTTTTTTTTCTTTTTGAGACAGGGTCTCCCTATAGCCCCAGCTGGCCTGGAACTGGCTATGTAAATCAGACTGACCATGAACTCACAGATATCCTCCTGTCTCTGCCTCTCTAGTGCTAGTAAAGGCTGTTTTGATTTTTAAGACTTGGTCTCACTACACAACCCTAGCCAGCCTGGAACTGGCTCAGTAGACCACCTTGGTCTCAAACTCAGAGATCTGCCTGCCACTAAGCTCCCAAGGCTTTCTTTTTTTGATGGCACTGAACTTGATGGAGGAAACTTAGAACCTACTGTGACCTACTTGAGCAAGGCAGTCATGTCAGTCTCACCTACAAAAGCAGGAGATAGTGCTACTTAATCTCTAGTGTACTTTCCAACTGGAAGAAAGTTTAAAGCTGTCAGTTAACGCTAAAATTTTGGGGGAACCAATTGAGGTTCTGCTGAGTTCTTTGAGCATGGGCAAACTATACAGTTCAGTCAACGAGTGCCACCTGCTGGTCAGAGTCATTTTGACCTTTCTGGGGAAAGATGTCTTACCAACAGCAGCGATTCCCAACTGAGTATTTGACATGACATCTCATTTGTTTTTCTCAATGGCTCCGCTCCGTAAACTATTATCCCGATTTTATGGAGAAAAAAACTGGCTAAGCAGCGATGTAAAAGCCCCGTACTTTTAACCATTAAGCAAAACTCCATGAAGTATTCAAATCATTGACTGTAGGAACTGGGAAAATGAGCTTTTCGTCTACTTTGTTCGGAAGCATCAATTTATAAGGGCCCCTGCTAAAGTCAGATCGGCTGTGACCGTGCTGCGGTGGAATAGGGCCGGGGTACTCTGCCCAGCTTCCGCTAGCCGTCCAGTCCCTAGGGAGGAAGGTCAACGCGGCTTCTCCCACCCCAGCCAAGCTAGGCGCACCCGGAGTCAGTAACCGCAGGCCTGGACGCAGCGACAGGGTGCCAGCTCCGGACCGGAGCTGGTGGACGATGGGGGGGCGGGGCGGCGCAGGTACCGCCTCGGTGGGACTAGGGACCCGGCGTGGCAGGGGAGGGCTCGGTACTGGACTCGGTACTGGGCTCCGTAATGGGTGCTCTCCGAGAGGCGCCGCGCCGGGTCGGGTCTCCCCGGCTAGCGAGCTCCCAGGGGAGGGCTGTGCTCGAGGCCTCACCAGGTGTCTGCTCCCAGGGGCAGAAGGTGGGGACCCACCTGTGCTGAGCGCCGGGTCGCGGGTCAGAGCTACCTCCCAGGCCGGTCCTCCCAAAGCGAAAGGCTTTAGGGCTCACCGGAGCAGCGGCTTACGGCGACTGCCGAGGGCCAAAAGTAAACTTGCTCCCGCCTGGACCTGCAATGCGGGTGAATCCACATGGATTTCACAGGGAACCTTTCCAAGCAGGGTCTCCCTCACCTTCCTTGTGATTGCACTATTATGGCGCTGTGGGTCATATCCAAGACCAGTACATTCTAGTCTATTCAATTAGAGCCAGGCTGCCCGGGTAGCTTATGAAAGGGAAAATACTAAAATACTAATTCAAGTTATGTAGTTATTAAAGCAGAAGACCCGGCCCTTAACCCAGGGACTCTCCGTGGAATCCACCTAATTGAAAAGGTAAAAAGTAATCCAGTCTGTAAGTAATAGCGCTAATACACAGCAATAACATGCCCACAAACTGATTAAGAGCTATAGGGGTGTCAGGGCGAGACGACGGTGAACCAGGGGCTTCTTGGAAGACCTCAGGCACATGAAACGGTTGTAACCCCCTGAGGCTGAAAGAAAACCAGTGCTATTTCAGTAAAAGGGGGCCGAAGTGGCTAACAGGCACCCTGGCATTTCCCATAGCTTATATAAAAGACTAGGAGGGAATGGTGTTGACACAGATTGTGGAATACCGATTCAATTCTGCAGTTAACCGAGGATTGCTGAAAATTAATGAGCATAGGCACTACAGTGCCGACTGCATTGTGTATTCAGCAGTACGAAACCCCTTGTAGAGAGCAAAACTGGAGGCAGGAACTCAAATTACAAGGCAGAATAGCCCATGCAACAGTCATGAAAGCCTAGATTGATAGAGTGGTGACTGTAAAGAGGAGCTGCACAGGCTCCTGTGACTGATAAAGGTAAAGTGTTCAAGACTGTTACGACTTTAGAGCCATGCAGACTAGTTGTGCTATTAACAGGGCTAGAGGACTTTCAAAAGTGGAAAGAGTGTGAAGAGATCATTTATGATTTTTACATTGCGGGAACTGTGGCATTTCCAAATAAAAATCATGGCAGGTGAAGATCATGGACCTAAATTGATTCAAAAGTTCCACTTAATGCATGAATGATCTGGTAATCCTGACTCATCTCTGAAACTGGGGTGTGGATTGCCTGACAATGTCACAACTCTGGAGTTCCTTTTCATGTGGATTTGGGAGTTCTGAGATCAGATAGAAAATTCATGGCATTTGCCAGTACTTCTACATAACTAAGTGTGCAACATGCATTTCTTGAACTTTTAAGCACCACAACAGATGAGATCTGAGAAAAAGTAAACAAGTTTAAAGGTTGAAACTTAAGGGCTGGGAGTGTAACTCAGTTGCGACATGCTTGCCTCCCATGCACAAAACCCTGGGTTTGCTCCCCAGCACTACATAAACCTGGCATGATGGTGCCCACCTGTAATCCCAGGACTCAGGAAGTAGAGGCAGGATCATAAATTCAAGGTCATCCTCACCCCACAGTAAGTTCAAAGCCACCTGGACTACATGAGATTGTGTTACACAAAAAGAACCTTAGCCAATACCCTAGAATTAGGGAATGAGGCAAAAGTATTGCTCACATTGATGGCGTACAACACAAATTTGAACCAAAGTCATAAGGCCACAGTTCCAAGTAAGACACAATTAAAAAACAGTGCATCTAAGATTTTTTAATTTTGTGTGCGCATGTGTGGGTGTCAGAGGACACATGTGGGGGTCAGAGGACAACTTGCAGGAATTGGTTCTCTTCTTCCACCATGTGGGTCCCTCGGATCAAACTCAAGTGGTCAGGCATGATGGTATCATTGAGCCATCTCACTGGCCCTTAAAAAATTTAAGAATTGGGCTGAAGAGATGATTCAGTGATTGAGAGTACATCCTGCTCCTCCAGAGGATCCAAATTCTTTTCCTAGCACCTATGTCAGGCTGTTCACAACCACTGGTAACTCCAATTCCAGGGGAATCTGACATCTCTAGGCTCCCCAGGCACCTGCACTCACATGCACATTCTATTTACCGACATACACATAATTTTAAAACAATAAATCTTTTTAAAAAATATTTTATTACTTATTTTATGTGAGTATATTGCCTGCATGTATGTGAGTGCACCCGTGTCGTGCAATGCAGCAGAGGTCAGAAGAGGGCTTCGAATTCCCCTGGAACTGGTTCATAGCTGCCCTGTGGGTGCTCGGAATCGAACCCGGGTCCTCTGCAAGAGCAGTCAGTGCTCTTAACCGCGATCTCTCCAGCCCCCAAACAATAAATCTTTAAAAAACAAAAACACCTAATAATTTGTCAGTGGCATTTCAGTAAAACACCACTCCCTAATTTTACAAGGTTCTCTTTACCTAAACAAGCCCACATCTAACTTAAATGGGTTTGCTTCTATAGGCTATATTGGATATATCCTTTTTTATGGATCAGTTTTTCAAGCAGTATGAGGTTAATTTAAGAAAATATTCTCAACAACGTAGGTTGGTTCACTTGAAAAAGCAGATGCATCGACATCAAGGAGGAACCAGAAAATTCCTTTGATGGGCGTTGTGTTCAGCTCAGCATCTTTGGAAACCACTAACACTTTAAATTTACAAAACCCAGAAATGATCTTTACAATTCCTTTGCTGAAATTACAGGCATATGCCACTACACCATATCCTTCTGCCAATCCTTACCCTCCTTGGAATTCAACAAATGTCTGCTTAGATTGCCTTGAGTCACTTCAGGAGTCACCTGTTTTTCAATATGCCTATTATTCAGCACAGGAGACTGCAAATGTGGCTACCTCATAGATTATTCCATGGCAATCCTGGAAACGGTTACTGCTTTCTTAGAACTTCTAATCCAATCACTACAGATTTGTTTTTTGAGACAAATCTCTCTGTTAGCATCAGCTGGCCTGGAACTCATTGTATAAACTAGGTTAGCCACCAACTCAAGAGATCCACCTATCTCTGCCTCCTCAGTACTGGGACTAAAGGTGAGAGTCACCAAACCCGCCAATCACTATAGACTTTAGAACTTTAGTATTTTATTTGCATTTTGTGTATATTGCCTGGATGTATGTAAGTGCACCTGTGTCGTGCCATGCCTGCGGGGGTGAGAGGAAAGCATCAGATTACCCTGGAACCAGAGTTACAATTGTTAGCCACCATGTGGGTGCCGGGAATCACCCAAGATGTCATCTATAAGTTAGAGCTGGGACAGTGCCTAATGCTACAAGTTCCTTTTATACAAAGTGGCTTGTGTCCTAGCATGTTCTTCAGTGATGTCTATATAGAATTATCATCTGTGGTCAACTTTACAAGGTGTGCTTTAGAAAAATTAATTTTAAGACTAAAATACAGAGATGCTAGCTGGGTATAGCGGCACATGACTTTGATCTCAGTACTCCAGGAGGCAGAGGCAGGTAGCTCTCTGTGAGTTCCAGACCAGCTAGAGCAAAGAATAAAATACAGAGATGCTTTGAGATACTCTCAAAAACATAGCTTTTCTCTTTCCAAGGCTGTTACAGGAGCTTGGATAAAACTTAGGGTAACCAAAGCTATGAATAGGTTTGGTAGTAACCCATCAACTGTCCCTTAACTCACAAATACAGACAATGTCAACTTACTAAGGAATGCAATTCCTTCTAAAGGACATCTTCTAAATTCAAAGATGTCACAGCTTTGGACCAGCTCTCATACTTAGCTCATGTACTTCAAACATACTTTTTTAAAAAATGTTATTTTATTATTTTTATGAGTGTATTGCCTGCATGTATGTAAGTGCACTGGTGTCATGCAATGCCCATGGAGGTCAGAGGGCATCAGATTCCGTTGGAACTGGAGTACGGACAGTTGTTGACCGCTATGTGGGGGCTGGGAATCAAAACATGGGTCTTCTGTAAGAACAGCCAATGCTCTTACCCGCTGACCATCTCTCCAGACCACCTCCCTTTTTAAAAAACATTAACTATTATGATTTACATTTAGATGGCTATTGTTTTGAGAGCATCTCATATATAGTTCAGGCTAGCCTCAAACTCACTACATAGCCCAGGTTAGCCCTGAACTCTTGACAATCTTCCTGCCTCAGCTTCCCAAGTACTCGGATTATAGGCATGCACCACCACACCCAGCTAGATGTTTTTAACCTAACCTCTATTCCTTAAAAGTTTAGAGTTGTTTTGATTTTTGACAGTCTCATTATGTAGGCCGGGCTGGCCTCAACTTGCAATCCTCCTGCCTCAGTCTCTTGAGTGCTAGGATTATAGATGTGCTCCACAAAAATGGTTTATAAAAGATACAAACTGTGTTCCAATTTGGGAAGTGAGAACACATCATTCTTCTTTGCTTCTGGTAATGGGAAAAGGGTCAACCTCACTACTTACTGTGCAACTAGAACTCACAACCACTTTCACAATCCCAATGAAATGAACAAATTACCATGTTGTTATGCTTTGTTCCCCAACCTTTCCTCCCAGCCTTCCAACTTCACAGCAGAAAAACAGGGAGGAGGGCAGTAGTAGGTAGGGAGACAGAGAAGGACAGGGATGAGGTTCCTCGTGGCAGTGACTATTCCTGGGGAAATGAGGCACAGATACCACAGAACTGAGTTTTATTAGGGATTTCATTAAGGTTAAATCTCTAGGAATGAGGGAGTCCTAGTCAGAGGGCATAAAAGCCCATGAAGCCTCCTCAGATCTCATAGTGAACCACAGGCTCAGGTTCCTTGTTGGGATCGCCGCCTCGTTCCAGGTACAGATTATTATAAGGGTACTGCTTTGGCCCCTAAGGGGAAAAAAAACACAGGTCAGCAAGAACAGCCAGCCAACCAATACCTGGCTACACCCTACTCTGAGTTAACAATCACACAGAGTAAATGGGCATGCAATAGCCTCTGGTCAGAACCAGCTGGACTAAAATGGCAGCAACAATGCTCCTCTTCCCTGCTCCACCCACAGCAGAGAAAGAGCCTCAATTGTAAGAGTGGTGCCTGCCCTGCAAGTGAGAGGTGGGAAGGAGGGAGTCAGAGCCAAAGCTCTCTAAATGAGACGGTGCATCCATCCATCCTA